CACACACACACACACACACACGTCTAGTTTTTAATTAGCCCTCACGTCTTCCAAGCAAAATATGCCTAAAGAATACACGTTGCTTCAAGACAATGGGGATTTTGACTATTTCTTAGAGAAAAACAAATATGGGTCAAAAACTTGTTTAATTTGTCATAAAAATGTTATAGTTAAAAATATAATTTTGTTTCTTACTATACCACTAAGCACTACTCTTTAAATGACTCTTTTTCTTGAGAATCTCTTTCAAGACGAAATAAATTGATTTTTTTTTAAAAAAAATCTTTTCAACAGCAACAAAACATTAAGGGAGGAGGACTTGGGTTCATTGATGAAAAAAATCGTAATTACCCCATAACTAGGTTAAAAACGCATAAAACCTATATTTTTGTGAGTTGAGTTTCATAGAGTTTAATACAGTTTAAAAATACAATCCAAAATTATAAGCTAATATTTTGATCAATTTTCCGCATTTTAAATGCCCTTGATCGTATAGCGTCCCCATCCCCCCTTTATCCTCATGCTGCAGCCCGCGTGAAATAGTTATCACATGTATGTGGTCCGACGGAAAAAGAGTTGAGCACCATTGTGGATTTGATGGATGAATCTGATGATTACCCCAACTACAGATTTATCAAGCCACGATTACTTCTTATGAAGACATCTAAAGGCCCTCATTTACGAGACTCCAGTTGATTCTATTAAAGAATTCGCATTCATTTACATTGGAGTGGCACGTGTGCAAAAGAAATACCTAGTACTCTGAAATTGTCATTAATCATGTCACCACATCTGGCAAGTACGAAATTATTTTTTGTTGTTATAAATTTGAGTGCTTTTTTAAACATTACAAAAAAAGAACCATTCGACTATGATATAAATACATCATGTAATTTTTTCCCTTTAATTATTTCCCTTATTTCTGGGTAAGATGCGAAAACTATCTAAGTTTCAATTATATCCTAAAAAAATGAGTCACAATTAAATAAATAAATAGAAATAGAAATTGAATTTATGCATTTGACCCATACAACAAATCATGCGTAAAATGTGGTTTATGTGTTTCTCATGCAATTTTTTTTTTATTAAAAATGATACAACGAGAGAGAGAGATTAAAGTGATTGCAATTAATATTCCCATCAAATGAAAGGTATTTTATTAAGTTTTATCGCGAATGCCATGAGGACAATTTTTTTACTATAAAACAATTTAATTTATTAATTCGTTTTTAATACATTAGCTATGACAGCGGCCTAAGCGGTAATTGTTTGAAATTATTTTACATCATT